CACACACACACACACACACACACACATACATACTCAGTTGGTAAAAAAAATTCGCATAACACAACTTGTAAGTATATCAAAACATATTGGTACCCGAGGAAAAAAGAAAGAACTAGAAACATCCAAACAGAACGAAACAAATTGTCAAGGGACTTAAGTTTTTAGTCCAAAGAAAAAAACAAAAAAACAAGCGAGTAATAAAGCTAAAACGTAGAGTGCTCAATACGCCAAGTAGAGCTGGAATAAATGAAATAAATTCAAAAAGAGCCAGGAACAACCTACATAGGTGTCACCTAAACGGACCTTCAGGGTAATCTGCGATCGTCAGCGGTCGCAAATAGCGTGAAAGCCTGGGTCACAAACTCACATCAATTCAAATATATATATATATATATATATATATGTAAAGTTCTTTCTTTCTCCCTATATATATATATATATATACATATATTTCTTTCTCCCTATATATATATATATATGTCTGTGTGTGTGTATATATTATTTAGTTGGAGTTTGTGACCCAGGGTTTCACGCTATATAAAGTTCTTTTTTTTCTCCTCTCCATATATATATATATATATATCCCTCTACATATATATATATATATATATATATATATATATATATATCCCACTACATATATATATATGTATATGGAGAGTGATATATATATATATATATATATATATATATATATATATATATATATATATATATGTGTGTATGTGTGTGTGTGTGTATGCTCTAGACTCTCCTGTCCAGCAGCTCAGTTCTTAGAACCAACAGCCAAACTACTCAGACATATTATTTGATTCTAGTTGTGAAGCCTTGTGCAAAATTAACTGAAGGGTTGAATACAGAGAACTGATAGACAGTAGGCCACAAGACCGACACTCCGAAATTGAATTCACAGTTGTCCTTCTTCTAGACCGTTCGCTATCCAAGGCTATAGGACCTTATATGTCCTGTTATTTAAACATAGAGATGGATTCGTACCTTACCAAGCGCGTCAGTGAATGTAATAAACTCCACTAGAATTTGAACTCGTATCTCCGATCTCTCAATCCTAGCCGCTATCCATTATCCCACTGTACCTATCTCTCTCTATATGTAGAATTGTGCTCCTTGGGGCAGTGTAATGGTTTGCAAGTTTGTCTTGCTAGAACAATTACGACTGAGCAGTGAGTTCGATCCCTACTGGGTGCCCTCTACTTTCGGCCTTCTGCCACATCTAAGCTACGCTTGGAAAATCACTATATATATATATATATATATATATATATATATATATATATATATATATATATAATCAATACAAATAAAATTTGTTATTTAGCTGATTGATGTTATATTCGACACCACGACTCCGGAGTTTTGTAAAGAAGTCTTTATGTAATTGTTCTGTCCACTCGTCAGGAGATATCAGCAATTGACTGCGGATTTTCTCATTTTCGTTATTTTCCTACTAAGTTCAAAAATTATTTATGCCCTACTCATTGGTGTTAATAGCTAGCGCATTAATTAATTTTTAACTTAGTAGAAAAATAACGAAATTGAGAAAATCCGCAGTCAATTGCTGATACCTCCTGACGAAATGGACTGCCTACCTGAAACAGTTCATATATAATAAAGAAAAGTAATCTGTGGAGAGCCATGATCGTCTACGTCCTGAATAGACATGGCATTCTCCCTAACTTACTGCACCATTTTGCTTGAGTCAATTTCTACCCGAAGAGGTTATATTTTTCCAATAATTGAGAAAATTCGCACGATTAAGCAGTAAATGTTGCAAATTCTTTTTTTTTAATTAGAAAAATATTTTAGCACTTTTCAGCATTCCATCAATATGTTGCCCACAACAAATGTCCAGATAAGCTCTACTCTTTAATTGCACTTGTTCAGACCTTTATAGCTAGGACTCACTGTGCTTCGTCCACGCAGCCGAATCACCCGCATTTCCCCCGTATTCCAATTATAAAAAGTAAGTGCCACTCAGAAAAATCGTTCCCCCAAAAATGCCACTTTGAGGAATCAACATTTGCGTAGATGTTTTCCTGTACACAACAATGTTCAATTCAAGAGTCAATCGCTATATATTCTCTCCATTCTCATAATCTTCACTTCCTCCTGTTTCCTCTTACAGTCATATCATACACTTCATTCAGTAATATTCTACCGCGAGTGGCTCTTGAGCCTTGTTTTGGATTAAAATTATTTTATTCTTAAAAAAATATCGAATTAAATATTATCTCTATTTTGTATTGGGTTGGTGCATAATTATCAGGCGTTTTATAAACAATGTTTATTATGAAAAAAGAAACATAACAATTCAACAATAACATTTTTAAATGATTATTCAGGAACATATGATTATCGACACGCATTTTTTATAACCTGAAAATAAAATATTTTTTATTAAAAAAAGTAAACAAAACAGCAATTTTTATTAACAAGTAACATGCCCACAAAAACGCCTGATAATTATGCACCAACCCAATATAATGCCATAATTGAAAAACCTTAAATAAAAAAGCAAGCTACGGATTAAATAGCAGAGTAGCCTCGGCTATCCAGACCTGATCTGCAAGAAGGACAAAGCTAAAATTCAAACCGTGGGGAGCGTAGCGTGAAACCAGTTCATTATCTTTTCTAAAAGTCATATCATATCAAAGATAATGAAGAACAAATCTGTGGCGAGTCACGATTCCATATGTCATTGATAAAAAAAATAATATTAAATAAAGCAAATAAAACGGATGAATAAGAAATGTTTTTCACCTATAATGCTGACAAAAACTGCAAAATAAGGACACCTGCTGTAGTGCTATAGTTAGGTGGCTTGTATCATAGTTTAATGCGCTTGTCGACACTTTATTATAGCAACCTTTTGACAGACTAGGCGTAGTTAACATCAGAGGTGCATCTTTTATCCGTGATATTTGTTACCAGAGCTCGAATGTAAAACGACCAGATTTCAAATGAAAATATTGGGGCAACATCATCTTTCCATTCGATTTCGCGCATTCGGTTACATGCAATACTAAACTTAGTAAATATCTCCAGCTCATCTGACACAGATTTACGATAGTGAAAGACCTGTTTCGGATGGAAATCACTTTGGAATGGTCTGCTAGACCAGTTCACTAAAAACTCAAACACCAAGAGCCTTTCCGATAATCTACCACTGAAATAAGTATATACGACGTTAAGAGATTTGTTGTAAGATGGAAAAGAATTTTCAATAAATGTTATTGTTGACAAAGGCCAATAGCACGACAGTTGCCTCGGGAGCATTCCAGATTTGTGGGGTGAAACCTGTTCGCTCCTTAACGTCACCTGTTTGGCTTGCTCCCGCTGACACTCACCTCGACCCCCAACACCTTCGTAAAACATCACAATGTAGGTAAGTAGTAAGTGGTTGTTTGGCTTTGTTTATTGTTGGGAGGTGTCAAACACGTCTTCATAGTCATCTTTTTCATATCTGAATAAATTTTTATTATTATGAATGAAGCACACTTTAATTGTAGAAATAAAGTTGTCAAGTTTATTGCATATTTTGCAAAATTCGAGAAGAAGCGGAAATTGCCTTAAATCCCGTGTAAAGGTCGAGTTTGTAGGTTTTAGAGAAAAAAAAAACTAATTTCCTTTCAGTCACATTTTAAAGTCGAATACATAGGTTTTAGGGAAAAAAAAGAAAGAAATTTCCCTTAAATTGCGAATTCCCAGGTTTTAAAGTAATTTTACTTAAAAGTCGAGTTCTCAGAAAAATTATTATTTATTTCATTTAAATCCTTTCTAAAAATCATTTTCCCAAGTTTATTTAGTAATTTACGTGATATCTCTCCCCCTTGTATGGTAGCGGATGCTGGACAATGTCCTCAAAGATGAAGAGAGCCGAAACAATCAAATACGTTGTTTTCCTCTGTCCCTCTTACCTTTAATCTGTCCTGTGAGCATCAAATTTTTCAAGCCCTCTTTCCTCATTATGTGCGCTAGAAATAACAACTGTCTATTCCTGATGTTAAGTATGTGTATTTTTGTTTCCATTTTCTCTAAAACTTCGTCGTTGCTCATATGTTCGGCGATGGATTTCTACAAGTTTGACCCGATCTGCTCGCAGAAAGCAAACTACAGCGCGTTGTTCCGTCCTTACGTCTGACCACTTTGCTCCCTGCCACGCGACTAAACGAGGGAATACTGCGCGCGTTTAGCTACTCGTCATTCAATGAGCTCCCCTTTAGAGCGTAATTTTAAAATTTTCTTTACTTTCTTATTTACCTATGTATATATTCGTGTGTGT